GTCGCTCGAGAACGCGCGTGGACGCCCGCCGAGGCCATTATCGCCGTCGGCGTGTGTTTAATCAACCGTACTATATTGTTAGGTACGATACGACAGACCAAGGTTGTTTTACACACACGCACACACACGTGTATATATAATAATAATAATATAATATACTCGTGTGCGCTGGCTATAATTTAATACTCTAAAGATATGTGCAGTCTACAGTGTATTATACAACATTTCTGCCGTAGATTCGTATCGACAAAATAACATATTATTTTACCTATTATTTTGAGTGTAATTAATAATTATAGTCCATGCGATACCCTGTAGGGCTGCGGCTGCAATATCAAGAGCGATACACTTCCATCCATAAAATAATATGCAATACGKCCAAGTCTCTATAAACAACATCACTCCTACCTTAGGACAAGGTTTTCAGTTCATCGGGACGAACACAATAACACTATATTGACATGCATGGCATATATAAAATTAACAGCTTCTTAATAGCGGACATTTAATGATCAGTGTGGTGTGACACTAATTTAATTGTTAAATTAAGTAATATTCGTTTCCACTTACCGTATACCGTGTTCACCTAAATGGAAAAAAGTTCGATTTTTGTTCCCGTAAAATCCAGATAGATATGGGTATACCTATTTTATTTATATGTACACAAAGTAAAAAAAACATTTACATATGAAACGGTTCGCCCGGATGGACGGCCCGTGTCTTAAATAAATGTTAGAATTTGGTTTTTTGGTAATTAGGTATCTCTCTATTTCTATTTATAATATATATATATATATACAATGTAAGGGTGAGTAAAGCGTCGATTTGTGTCGACCAGACTTATATATAAGTGGGTCGACACAATCGGGGGCGCTTGGGTAGTAGTCGGGTTGTTATCGGACTCTATCAATACAATATGATTTTAGATTTGTTTAATTTTACAAATATTGGGCTCGGGAGCCGGCCGTCGTCGGTACAAACTTAGGTAAGTGGTACCCCGACGACGA